CCAACCTAACATATTAATGAATCTTAGTAATGCTATAGATCTTTTTCGAATTCAAAAGACAAGATTCTAATGCTATATTAGATTTACCACAATTTTGTAAGATCTATAATACTGTATATACTTTCTTATAAAGCTGTTAAGTAAGCAAAAGATATAAATATCCTGTATCAAGATGTAATATATATAATTTTATTTAAAGAAAGATTTTTCAAGATCTTAGTAAATACTATATTAAATACCACAATATCTCAATAAGTATTGAGATTTAAGATAATTAATATATATTATATGAAAAAAAAGTTTATATCTAAAACATTAACTAAAAATATGATTTTTAGAAATAAAAGATAGATAAATTTGGGAAATACAAATTTTGGGTATAAACTCTATGAGTTTTAGAAAGATAAACCTTGAGAAGATAAGTCTGGGGAATATGAGTCATAGGAATATGAATCTTGAAACTACGAATCTTAAGAATATATATTTTGAAGATATGAATCTTGATTATACAAGTCTTGAGAATATGGATCTTGAGAATACAAATCTTGAAGATACAAGTCATTAGAGTACGAATTTTGAAAAGTAAAAAAACTAGTAATCCTTGATTGATTTTAACTTGTTGTTTATATATTTATACTCTTTGAGTAGTTTTTCTTAAAAACTCTAATTCCTTTAATAACAGATTTGTTTTTAAATTTTTTTGCTCTTCATAGCAAACAATGGTTTGTATTGACTATATATTTAAGCAACTATTACTAGTAGTTTAAATACCTCATTTTCATCATCTTTCACAATTGCTTGCCAGTTAATATATCATTTTTCTCAGCTTGAATCATAGAAATTATCTTTTATTATTAAGTATTTCTTCTGTAGCAATAGGTTTATCAATAGCTTGTATATATATTAATATGGTCTAGATGTCTTGACTGTATATAAACTCTTATCTAGTAAATTAAAATTATGGTTTCAATTTCTTTATTATCTAACATGGTATCATTTTTAATATACTAATCCACAATATCCATTTCTGTCTCATTTGTATTCAAAAGAATTCTGATCTTGTACCAATAGTTCTGAATAGTTGTATTGCTTACTTGGTTTCACAACTCTGCAATAAAATCAATTGCCTTTTTACAGATAGTTTTTTCTGTAAGAAAAAAAGCAAATTAATTATTAAGTTTATTGTTATATACTCAAGTACTTAAGTATAATAATATCATACTTAAGTATTTGGGTATAATTAAAGATGAACTATAAGATATGATTTACAGAGTATATAATAATTATTATAGCTAAAGCTGAGAATTGGACTTATTTTATTAACAAATTTTTTTGTTTTTGTTTTTTTTAGGATTGAGAATTAGGTTTATTAATTGAAGAGATTTTAGTAAATCTATATTTTTAAGAAAAAATAAACTCAA